GCTACAAATTGGTACCCAATGTGACATTATACCCCCTATTTTCTGTAAAATGCTATAGCTAACTATTTCAAATGAGGTTCTAGCTAGAATAGGTTGGAGAAGACCTTTAAGTGATTGTCTGAATATTATTAAATACAAAAAGTTAGTGAAAAACCTTGTGTAAGCCATTTGATAATAAAGGAGTTAAAATTTATAGTTTGAGGAATTATATAAATTATATTAACAGAAGTGTAATAATCTAGTAAAATAGTCAAGTTGTTAACCTTCAAATAGCAGATCTAGAGTCTAAATTCTAATGATAGCAAAAATTTTAAATTTTTTCTATGTTATAATTTACTATCTTCTGTGATTAGTTGAAATTTGATATTTGTAACCTGTGTTATATTAGCATAACTGAAAGGTCTAAACATTTGTATAATGTTGTATAAAGAAATATAAACTAGTACCAAGCAGTATGAACTTATAATAAGTCCTTAGGCTATGTAAATTACAGGAACCAGATAGAAATACAGAAGTTTATTTAGAAGATTTAAGTAGAGAAATAGGCCAAACTTTTAATAGTACTACTGTAAAGACTAGATCTATAAAATAGAGTTAGAACTTGTAAAGTTAGACAAATATGCTAATCTTTAAAAAAAGAGCAAATAAACTAACCAGGCTGTTAAAATTTTCAGATTTCAAAGAAAAAGAGTACATGCTAGTGAATATATAAACCAGTGATGTATAGTTACAACCTATCTTTCTGGGCTATCTGGATTGACAGTTTGGTAGAACTTGAATTGAATATTAAAGTAATAGAAATATGTTATAAAATCAGTATTAGGATTGAAGTAAATTCTATAAAGGCATAGTAGTTTAATAATATATCCTAACTGCAAGTATTAGTCTTAACCATAGTGATATTGAGTTAGCTATAAAAATAGAATACAGAAGATTCTAAAAGGTTTAGCACAAGATCAAAGGTTTTTTATATAAGTGAACTGCTTTAAAGACTTAGTAATCATGGCATATTTTTACTGACATTGGCTAAAGTTGTTAATAGATAGAAATAGATGGATAGATATAAGAACTAGAGTGTTTAAATAGAAAACCTACAAGCAGGTTTCAGGTATAGCAGCTAGTGTAAAACCTTTGGATGAACTATTTAAATTAGACAATAACTAAAGTTATACAAGTTAGAGGCCTGCATTGGGTTCTGCAGCCTAGCCTGGCCTGGCCTGGCCCACAAATTTTTGTAAACTGAGTCAGGCCTGAAGCAAAATTTTATAATTGCAGTCTGGGTTGGGCTGAAAAATTTTCAAAACTTTATAATTGCAGGCCAGTGCAGGCCTAAAATTTTGTAAAATTATATAAGAAATTTTTGCAGGCTGGGCTAGGCCAGGTCAGGCTAAAGAAAAAATTTAACATATGCAGGCCAAGATAGGTCAGCAAAAAAATGATAACCCTAAATATGGGCTGGGCCAGGCCTAAAAAAAAATTTTAACCCTAATTGCAGACCAGGCCAGGTCTCAAAAATAGGCAATTTGCAAATCCTTAATACAAGTAACTAGTTGTATACTCTTTTCATGATTGTCTCTTATAGTTGTAATGCAATCATTAGCCAAATATACTATTAACAAACTCCTGAATTATAAGTACTTATCTTAATATTTTAAAAAAATATATATATATTAGATTTAAACTTAATTTTAATAATAATGATTAGAATTACTTATAAATAAAATAAGCTGTCTGTAAAATAATCTGTTAGTAAAATAAACATATTAGTAAATTAATTATTAATAAAATAAATATATTAGTAAATTGATTATTAGTAAAATGTTATATCTATAAAATAAGTAATAGTAAAATAACAAAACTGTTTCTACTTGGGTCTTTTAAGTAAACCTTTTTTTTTTAGTTTTTGTAATTTATATAATTACAAAAACTTATTATAATTTATATTGTCTAGTTTTAGTTTGTATTTTTTTATACAATAGTACAACTATTATACAAATGCTATATAACTTTTTAGTTATACTAGTATAATACAAATAACAGATATCTTATTTTACCAATAGCAAAAGATAGTTAACTATAATATAGAGATAAGACCTGAATGTAAAAATCTCATCCAGATATCTGTTTAAGTTTGAAATCAAATATCTGGGTGAACCTGGATCATTTATTAAAAAACAATTTAAAAGTTAAATTTAATTATATATTACTATAGATTTTAGTAATTAAGCAATTTAGAAATTACTATTTATACTTTTCTTCATGTAAAAAATTATTTTAGCCATTTGTTTAGAGATAATGATTAATTACATTGTGACAATAAGTTAATAACTCGTTTATACTAGTTATAATTTTGAAAAGTTTTAGTCAATTAGCACAATTCTGAAAAAAAAGATGTTTGGGTCTCTGTTTCTTGTTAATTGAAATGATAAGTATTCTGAATTGGCTAAACGATCTTCCATTAATTAAATTTTTCTCTAAGATTTATATGACATATTAAACTATTGTAGCCTTATATTATTCATTAGAATATTAAATATAATTAATTCGTAAAACTATTTTTTACTAGTTAAAATTTACTTTACAACTTATTCCGACTTGATTGACTAAAGTGTCTAATAGAAGTTTTTATACATAGAAGGTATGAATAGCAAAAACAGAATGCAAATAGTATTGCCTTTTATTTATTTAGAAAACAAATTAAACTGTTTTAAGTACATTATAATTTCTCTTAACAAACATTATTTTTGTTGCTAAATTTGAATCTAATCAAGTACATTTAGCTATTATCTGATTTCCTGCATTAGAAAATAATCTCTCACTAGGTACAAAGGATGCAGAAATAGATAAGTATTTTCTAGCTAATTTTGATACATTTGGAAACTGTGCTTTTCTATCAAACTACCACTTAAAAAAATCAATGTTGTCTTTAGCAAAAGGTGTATACATTGAATCCAAATAATATTCTAATTCATCTATAGGACTAGATTCTATAGAGTTTATGTTAGATGCACTAAATATTAATGAGTGCAAATGATTATGACAAAAATTATTTTCAGATGTATTTAAAACACTAGAGCCAGATAATATATTTGAACTAATTAGTTCTTTAAATTGTCATATTAGTTCTTTTTTTGCCATATCTTAAACATTTTCACTCCAAATTGCTAGTATCTTTAGTCTAGGGTCTAAAAGTGATGCTAATAACCTAGGCATTAGTGGTTCACTCCAATAATCAAACAAAGAATCATAAATTGTATGTTGTAAAGTTTTAAAAATAGTTTGTGTAATATGAGTATGATCATTACTTTGATTTGCAGTATTTATTACTGAATGTGTTTGATGACGATAGTAATTTGTTAAAGTCAAAAATTTCAAATCTTCATCTTTGGAACTATTATCATCATCAGAAGATTCTTCATGTTCAAAATTAGGTGTCTCTAAATAAATAATTATTTAAAGAATTAAAAGTTAAAAATAAAGTATTATTTATACTTCACTCCAAATAAAAATATCTCTTCTAGAGATATTTTTATTTGAAGAGGAGTATGAATAACAATCCTTCAAATAAAATAAAGGTAAATTAAAAATTACCCTCATCATTATAATCTAATCATTCAGATGTTTCAGTATAAGCATATGTATATTTAAGAACTTGGATTAATGGATATATAATTGATATTGTTGTGTATTGTGTACCACTAAAGTAAGTAGTAGCATCATTAAAGGGCTTTAATAAATCACCTATATTTTTTAAAAGTTTCTATTCATAAGGTAATAAAAGTCTTTCTTGAAGTTTTTGTCCTTCAGCTCTGTCAGTTGGATTTTCTGATAAAGGTAATGTTGCAGCCACTCATTCAAGTGCACAGCATAATTTAAGTAACCTACTCCAAGAGTAATATTTACTGTTTCAACAGGTTTTTACGTCAGCAATATTTCTTAATATGGTACCTTAACTTGAATTTTCTTTAACAGAATGGTTTGAACTTTCATCGTCAGAATCACTTGACATATCAGAGCAGTAATGTTTTTATTTTGCATAAGAAAAGTGGATGATGATGATTGAGATTCTAGTTGGGCAGCATCTAAATATTCACTGCGTTTTGGTGATTTAGTAAAAAATTTAACTAATTGCTTTATTCTTTTAAGATAAATGTTGGTTTTTGTAAAAGCATGATATATTGAGAGTTGCAAAGTGTGGGCCACACATGGCAAGCACTCAACACCATCCCATAAACTACCTGCCTTAACCATGTTACTGCCATTATCGGTTACAATACATGTAATTTTTCTATTCAACCCGAATTCAAATACTTTTTTTTTTAATAGTGCAACAATCTTTTCACCTGTGTGAGGATAAGGCATGTGTTCCATATATAAAAGACAGTCATAAACTTTAAAGTCACTTGATAACCAATGAATGGTTATACCTATATAACCATGTTTACTCCGAGCCGTCCACAGGTCGGTTGTTAATGATGCTGATTCACAAGTATTGTCTAACAAACTTTTTAGTTTTTGAATTAAATTAACATAACTACTATTAATTTCTTTTTTAATTTTTTTGGTAGAAGGGATTTTAAAAGCTGGATCAATAACTTTTATTATTTTCCTATAACTTTTCCTATTAATTACATTCATTGCCATATTATCAATAACAATCTAGTCACTAATCGATTGTCAAATTTCTTGGTTTCGTGGCTCTCGATGTAATTTAACTTTTAAATGTTCAAAAACCTCTGGTAAAGTTTGTTGAATTGTATGAATCTGAAGCTAAATATTATATTTATAATAAATATTATACTAATTAATGAATTACAATAACTACAATATTAAGGTTGTTAATAGAGTACACCAACTTTGGTTTAAACTGAAGTAGTTTATATGTTTTATTATTTGTAGTACTTTATTAATAATATACTATACTAAACTTAAAATATCTTATTCTGATTTTCATCCAAGTTATGCTTATTTTGCAAATGATTATTCATATTTCCTGTACTGCTATCATGTCGAAATTTACAACTACATAATACTAATTCATTTCGCAAATTCATTATCTTAACTTGGCATTCATTGTACTTTCCATCATTGCTTGTTTCAAAATAATTCCAGACCCAACTCGATTTTGCATAAGTTCGTCTTAATTTGTTTGTTTTATTCTTTTTTTTATTCAATTGGTTCTTATCAAAAATAGATGCATTACTACTTGAGCTAATTGTAATATTATCGCTCATTTCATATTGTTTATTAAAGGAAAATTGCCCAGAAAGTTCACCAGAATCATCATCATAGTTGGCCATTTTATTAGAGAAGTTACTAGAATTAATATTTTAATAAGTAAAATAAAAATATATATATATATTAATCATTTGTAGTCTAAATATTTTTGAATTTTTGAATTTAAGAAAAAAATTCAAGTTTATATATACCTTTAAAAAAAAAAAAATATTCTTTTTTGTTTCCTTATGCTGATAGTTTCCCAACCAAAATACTATAAGTTTTGTTTGTTATAAATATTAATAATTCGTAGATCTTGCTTCAAATATTCGAATTTTTGAATTTAAGTTATATTATACTTTGATTTTTTTTTTTACTTAAAAATAATTCAAGTTTTATATATACCTTCAAGTTTAAATTTTTTTTTTTTGTTTCCTTATACTGATAATTTTTAAAATTATAAAGTTCTTGAGGCCACACGCATATTAATAGTTCTTAAAGCTGCACACACAATTATTATTGAGAGATTCTTGAAACTGATATATGCAATATTTAGGAAGTATAATGTTTATTGAAGAAAATATAAATCTTTCAATAACTCTGATATTTTACTTACTGCAACAAATGCTCAATTATCTTTATACATATTGTTGAAGGCTGATAGAGTGAATCCAGAGATGAAGCAACTGTGACGAATTGTCACTTCGAAATCATTAATGTTGCGTAATGTTACTCAAAAGCAAAATGAGGCAATATGATTTGGCAATGGCTAAGGCAGCTCTCGAGTAAGTTATTGGGTAAGTATAGGGACTTTTCAAAAGAACGTTTATTGGTATTACACTCTCTACACTTTTTATGATTTATAACTTTATTTATTATTAATTTATTAATAATTTTTTTTTTCTTACAGGAGTATAGGGAAGCCAGGAGGTTATCGGAAGGTCATCCCCCACTTAACATTAAAAATGGAGGGCTTTTATAATGAATTATCAGGGAAGTATCTTGGGAGCATTCTCTTTTTTTCTATCTTAATGTTCTCTTTTCTGTTAATTGTACAATCCCACCTTTTGACTCATGATTCCGTCTTTTAATTACCTTCTCTATTTTGTAGGTTTTGCTAATAAAGCTACAGCCGCATCTCCCAAAAAGTCTTTTTGGGTTGAAGGCTCTGTTGTAAGCCCGTGAAAGTAAGTATCACACTTTTTCCTTGTTGCACATTATGGTAATTCTACTAAGTCTTTTTTTCTTTTTTAGGTTAGCGATAATTGTCACATGTAGGGCCCAGGCTTACAATCGTGAGTGCCTTGTTCCAAATCTTGAGGCTTCTCTTGCATACAATGAGGAGAAATCAGGTTACATGATCACTGGTTTTGGGTCATGATCCAACTTGCGATTCTGGTCACGTCTTCGGTCATGTTTTCGATGATCGTTACACAATGGCTCTAACCGGATTTCCTTCTAACAGTATAAACAATTATCAATTATACTTTTATTGTGTTACATTATGTTTAATATATATATTAATTGGACAGGTATAATGCTAAATCATTATATACAATTAACTAGTAATATGTGATATTTTACTAGTTAATTTTATGTAATGATTTAGCATTACACTTAAATTATTAGATTAAGCAATCATTTTTCTTACACCTATTTTCACCCAGGTTATTGTATTACCACCCAGATACCTGACCCACTTGCAGGTGACCTGGGTTTGCTTGATCTGGGTCACATCTCTACTATAATATAAAAAGAATTTTTAAATTTTTATCAATACTAAGATTTGAACTTTAGATCTGTTACTTAAAAAATAACAATATGACTACTTTACTATATTACTTTTTTTTTTTTTTTTTTTTTTTTTTTTTTTTTTTTTTTAACTTTGGTGACAATGCCAGTTGGTTTTTATTAGCCTTAATTTGATATAGTACAA